GTATATGCAATCCTGGCATCGGAATTCAACAAAGCCATGACGTAAAATTACAGTCCAGTTCCCTACTGGGCTACTGAAGCAAGAACCATGACTATATACAGTCCCTTCAAGATTATACCGAGACGGGTGCTGACTTTTTCAGCTACAGCGATAGGAACGTGGAGGAACTACTCCTGAAACTACAATTGTAATACTTAACATCCTTTACTATTTCTTACAACATCTAAGCCTGAATTGTGGCAGGAAATTAAGAACTGCACAAAAATCATTGATAAACACTATGATTTGATGTTCGTCTCGGGTTCAGCCAATCGTTCGTTTCGTAGGATATTGGATTGGTTGTGGTTAGATATTGTTTCGAGGATATGTAGGCGGGTAGTTCGAGGTGTTCGTTCTCTGTCTTCTGGTCTGCTGCCGACTGTCTTTAATCTTTGCTCTCAGGTGAGGCAATTCTCCCTTTGTCGTCCCGACAGCGGGTTAATATATTATATTGTTGAACTTTATATGCAACTTTTTGTGGGGTTTTTTCACTCTAACTATTTACGAGAGAAGTTGTGATTCGCGACATTAATTCATTATAGTGTGTGGTCTGATTATGGAGAGCAAAAATAAAACTGGTATGTGATGTCATAGGAAGTTCAATTGTTTGTTAATTTGACATGACTTGCATAGTATCAAGTGCTAACCAAGCTTATTCTTTATTGTGTGAAGTGGTTTATTACAGTTGGACGTTTAAAATCAAATGGAACCATTTTGTGTTTTCATGAATTATAAGTAAGGCAATGCGGCTGATCCTATAAGCCTATATCATATTGAGAAGATTTTACATTGACGTTTTACCCTTGGGGCAACACTTATCTGTGTAGACGTCTAAAAACGGTACCATGTGCTAAAATCGATAACGCACAACAGTTATAGTAGCCATATCATCTATTAAATATTTGAGGATTGAAGCGAATGCATGTCATACAGTTCATCGAAATTTCCCAATGATGCGCGGTATTCGTGATTTCCTGAGGTTTATGTTTAACTTTTAAACAAACGAACTAAATATAGACAAAAGAAATATGTTGGAACAAATTCGTTTTCACCAAGGTAACAATTCCGTCAGGCAAAACAAAATATACGTTACTTGCTCTCTAACAGAATGATAAGAGATCTGAAAACAACTAACAATCGGAAAATATCCACTTGTAATGGTTTGTTGTGGTATATTGTCATAACAAAGAGTCGGTAGGTCTATATTAATACATAAGGACATGGTATATTGTAACAGTAGCTATGAGTGTGTGCTGTGTATAGACAAATACAGGGCGTGTCTGGTTTCGAAATCGACACTCGGTAACTTTCCAACATCTATCCTCCATCTAATAGCATTATCTAGAAGGGTTGACAGTTCTCAATGTCAAAAAGTCGACTCCACTTTATTTTCTATTTTCTCGTAGCAACATTCATACTTCCTGTGTGTGTACAAAATGCTTGGTATCGCTGGAAATTTCATCTTTTCATTTTTTTATCAACAACATTCTCTATCCACGTGAAATGTATTCCCATTATACAGACATGATCAAAGTTTCGAGCAAAAGTACACACTATTTTGATATTAAATTTTTTACATTTATCATTTATTTAGCCTTTTGAGGTTGACATCAGACTTGCTTAAACAACCCTAGTCTATTTTGCTGACTATTTTCTGAAGTACTTATAAAAACAGTTTCAGGTCCACATGAAATGCTTCGTTATCATATGCATTGAGTTCAGTAGATTTTGTCCTGGAACTCTGGTACAATTTGACATTACTATGCTTTTTTAGCACATGGTTTAACAAAAGTGCTAGATCTGACTTGAGATATATGTAAAATGTATAGATAAACACCTTTCCTCATGGTGTGTTGATGGCGTCAACTGTATTCCACGAATAGTACGGAGAATCAAGCCTAAAATAACCCTGGAATAATGAGTTTTACGCAACAGGCATTGCTATCAGAGTGGTTACCACTCAGGATGAGACATATAGGATCTTAAATGAGTTTTCATTTTATATGAGATTTTATGAAACGAGTCTTAGGAGTTTTATTTTTGCGAACCTTGGCGAGCAAAAATTAAAATTTCGAGACGAGTTTCATAAAAGCTCACATGAAATGAAAACAAATTTAAGATACTTTTTATCACATAACTCAGAAAACTTACATTTTGACAGGTTTTAAAGCCAAAATGTAGAGGGCTTAATCAAACGGATTAATTATGACGTCAAAATCGATTTCTGACTGGCACAGCCAATGACAAACGCTCCATGGTATATCACACTAGTGACATATGTAAAAATATTACACGGGAGAATTCACTGGATAACAGGCCGATTATGTGATAAATAGGCAAAACCACACATATGTGTTGATCTGAGTATTCGGATCGCATGAGTTTGTGGTGGCGTAGAAATATATCACGAGTGCGCTTCGCACGAGTGATATATTCCCTCCGCGCCACAAACGAGTGATGTGTGATCGCAGATGTGATACAAGCAGACAGAAAACACACCTGACAAAATGATGTATTACTATCGTAAGATTGCATAGGCATGTGATAAAAATGGTTATCACAGTTAGTCTATGCTGCGATTACTTTTCTGGGAGAACCATACATCAAATTTGTTACATTTTTTTTTTAACAAATCTGATATCAAAATGAGAAAAAAAAAGTTACTATATACAAATATGTCTGTTAGAGCCCATGGATATATATTTTTATTTGTGCGTTAATAGGCTATTGCCAATTTTGTAAACGTCAATGACATTTGATACTAGTGCAGAAACGTCACAATTGCTGTATAACTATAACCGAAGGCGACAAACTGTATTACAAATGTATTGATTATACTTGAGTGCATTCACTCGTGTCGACACTAAGACTACTTTTAAGGGTGTTGGGGAAAGTGAAAACAACTGCGACTACCACCGTTACCAAAGTCGTTGAAGCATGCAACAATATTACAGATGAACTTGATGATATGAAAGTACACAATGTATTCAAATACATGAATTGTGGCAGACTAAGACTGATGAGTATCGCTCGATTGCCCCTGGGGTGATGAAGAACAACAACAGCAGTGCATTACAGTGTAAACAACACCGTAACCGAAATCCACGAAACAAGGGAAAATCATTAACCCTTTCACCCCTATGTAACTTTAGTAGATTCACTAGGCTGATATAGATAGAGCGTCACCTGGCCTGTCCAATATCTGAGTACCGAGGGAGACGGGGTCTCGGTGTGTACACGTATTTTTGCATCACATTACCGTAGAGTATGAAATTATGAAAATCCTTTAAGAACAGTATATTCTGTATCTCCATATAATGTATTTTAATATAAATAACCGACAACGCAGAGAATTACATTCAACGCAATATTACAAAAGACAAAAAGAATACATGGAAAAGGGGTGGAATTGGGGACTAGAAGGAATTTATAAAGGTGCGTTGAATTTGTGTTTGGGGTGGAAAGCATGGAGGGAGAAGTAGGCTTGTACACTCAAACTGACGTCGGAGTTGGTCAAAGTTATGATGCTGTTGCTTAAATCCATTAGTATATATAATATATATGCAATATATATTGTATATATATAACCTTCAGTATCTTTTACCTAGCTTAATATTTGGCCATTATCATGTGTAGAGTAGGGGCTATCACATTTGTTTAAGAAAATGTCCTTAACCCACTTTTCAAGATTGCATAGGTAGAATGTGTTTAAACGATTTTATTACGTAGTTGTAACATGTGTGATGATAGGGTAAATATCTAAATGTTCAGACATATCATGGTATTCATAAAAAGATCTAGAAATCATGAATTTGAGTTCTCAGCAAGATAGTTGTTTACTAAATAAAACGTATTAAAATCGAATTTATTGATGTAAGTAAATTTTAGAGTCTAAAAGAGTGACCAGATGTAGTGGATATATTCTTCCACCGAAATCGACACCAATCGACACCGAGATAATATCAGTGCTTCAACATGATTTTGTGATGGATGTTGCTTACTCTCATGATGTTTAGTTTCCTATGGACACAGTTGGTAAACGTTCCTGAACTCGCTGTATTAATAGGTTGTTATTTTACTTTTTAAAGGATAAACTTGAGATAGAATATGGTACTGTGCTTTCAAGAACATTCCATCCAACGTAGAAGGGAGTAAAAGCCAGATAATTTAATAAAGAATGCAAAGCACATATTCATATCATTATTAAAATGCCACTCCACAGGAAGGATGTGACTTTCTCAAATAAGTACGTCCGTCGTTTGTTAACTCAGGTTGAATACTAGCACAAAAAACTGTCATCTATTATAAGATTGATGACTCGATAAAGTGTTAGGAGTCTCAATGAGGAATATTATACAGATTTATGTCGAATGCTGAATCCCTTTACATAGGAAACAATGCTAAGGTACCAAAAAGGGACCGTCAAAGCTATTGAATGATGAATTATATTATTTTATTGTAATATCAAAAAAGGAATATCAAAGAGTGTTCTCTCTGATGTCACCAATAACACTTTCCTGTTTTCATATATCAAAAGCAGGATATCAATACTGTATTAAGGACCTTGTAATTTGTATGTATACAAGTATTCGTAATAGTCTAAATGTATTGGTTATCTCAGGAACTCAAAGCCTAGTCCTTGTACGCGCCATTTTGTAACATTAACACACGGTTATTTTTTTTAGAATAAAATACCACTCCTGGTGCCATTGTAAAACGTTAATTAACCATGTGTACAAAACACTGTGTGAATAGTGAATATGCGTCCCAAAGCTTGGTTATCATAACACAAACTGAAGGTATGAGAGTATTTTGTTGTAAAGAGTGATCCATTTTTGGTACTTATTTGGGTTTGTTCCACTTTTTTATCCAGCTGTAAACTTATATTGCTAAAGAAGTCCATGGATTATTGTGCGGCATTTCTTAAACTAGCGAAATAAAAACTTTGAAATACCAGATACTTAATACACGCCTTAATGCTGCGTACTGTTTATTAAACGTGTTAAAGTTATACAGTACAATAGGCATGACATCAATACTTTCTCTTTTGAATTGTTCTTGTACAAACATACAATAAAAGCAGGCCGCTGCCTAGGCCTTTCCCGACATGTGTACAATTGCATAAAAGTAATTTGTATTACTTCTATGAATAATGAAAACAAAAATGCAAATCGTAATGATATAATATTTTTGTACAATGTATGCCGTATCAAACACATAGCTAGAAACAAAGTAATAAAATACGGGTATCCAGAAAAATTGATATATAGGCAGGGTATGTTCGTATCCTTATGTTGTAAACACTTAATCTATACTGAGACAAGTTATCAAATACACGACACGTCCATTTCTATAACCAATTCTCTAATACTTACATTACATGTATCGCGATATTTGACTTGCTGGAACAAAAAAAGAACATTCTCCATTTTACAAACACACATGTAAGATCCAAACCAACAACACAACAATACCATTTTTCACATTTACTCACACACAATATCTCAAACTCGCGTAATTAAATTAACAGGTTAACTTTCAAAATACGATTGGATCTTGTTTGGTGAGAAGTTAAGAAATTTCTTGGGCAATCCTCAAGACAGAAACATGAGCTATTACATATTGCACTTTAAAATACTTAACAGAAAATCATTATTTATCACTTATGTTATAGGCTGATGTTAATAAATATCTCTTCAGCAAGCTTGTAGCCACAAACTAATTACAGTAACGAATTCATCTTGAAAACGAGTATTCGGTTGAACTAATAGACAACAAATATCAATAAAAGTAATGAATAAATATGTAACCGTAAGTGTTTGCTCTTCTTGCAAGAACGACGTAAAAACATCTGAGAGAGAAACGGGATATCTCTGTAGGTCGAAATTGCGGACGAGATTACTCCCACTCGTCGAGGTAGTAAACAGAAGTCAAATATCGAATTCGGGATACCTTGATAAAAAGCAAGGCTAGTGTAATGAATGAAAATATGAAATATGAATGATAAGTTAAAATAATAAGTTAAAATAGTATAGCAATTAAGACAATAATACACCATAAAAAGTAAAATGGCAGTCTCTGCAGAGGGGCCTATACACACACATAAAATGAGACTGATTCTTTTTATGATATATTTTTACTTTGAAGATATTTTCTGAAATACCATCCTTAAATTAATGTCACTAAAATGAATGAAAAAAGATGCGTAGACAAATCTATTTTGCAGGCTGGTTTTGTAATTCAACTTTGTGGTGAAAATTCACTGGAGTTTAATTTTAAGTTAAACAATTAGAAAAACTGTTATTGATAGGCATACCTATCCTGATTCGATCAAACGTTATTGCAAAACGGCGTAAATATGGTTCATGAATGTCGGAATGAGGAAAATCAGGAAGTCACAAAACAGAGCTAAAATTCTGACTGAACTGCATGGTATCAGTGACAAGCTGCTCTTATGTAATTTGATTACAGTGATTTATACTAATATTGCGCGTGTAAAGATTGTATCGCTGAAACGTTCTCAATCACGACGTTCCTGAAACAGTTTTTCCTATGAACGTATTCGTGTATAGATGCACATCTTTTGTCCCTGCATAGAAACAAAACCATGATTAGTCATTATAATATCAAGATTCGTGAATAAAAAAAAAATATAAGATTAAATAACGCTTGGAAAATAACATTCATGTCATTAGACGGGTACGCTAATTAGGATTATGTGTATTAAGTGAGTGTTGCTACCAAAAAAAATAGAATAAAATTAGCATAATAACTACGCGTATTTCATGCCTTTCTTTATAAAATTAGATCACCTTGATATAACTTAAGACGAAAACTTTCAAATAGTAATCTTAAGTATTTCAAAGAAAATTCAAAATGTTGCAAAAAAAAAAAAATCACAATTGCATATCAATTAAAATTGCGGTATAGTACCTGTCAGTGTTACGTCGATGTTCTCGTAGTATTTCGGTTTGTGCTGAGGATGGATATTTTCGTAACTTGAGCTAAGCGAACAAAGGAAATATATACCATACATCGTGTTTTTAATTTTGTATCAAATATCATAATTAAAACGAGGCTTGCATTGCTCAACTTGTGACCTTACAGTGGATACAAATAAAGCCAAAGGCAAACTATTAAGTGTATTGACTGTGTCTTGAGACAAAGTGATTAAAAGAACATGCTAAAAAGGTTTAACCACATTTGACCCCTGTGGCCTTGGAGGTCAAACAAGGACATTAAGTTGAACAAACTGTATAACCATTGATGCCAGAAGGCAACTTGCCAAATATAGCCACCCTAGACCTTTTATATATTGAGAAGATGACTATAAAATGTTTAAAAATATTGACCCCTGTGATCTTGAAACGTGTCATGGTCATTCACTTTACGAAACATTGAAATCCCTTTATCTTAGCATGCTACTGGTCACATATCATCACATTTTCTTTTGCATTTCGGTTATTAAGAGGATGTCATTAAAAGATTTTCACATATTTAATTCCTGTGACCTTGAATATAATCCAGGGTCATTCTATTGGGGGAAGATTATTTATTTCAATAGACTTGGTAGCCTTTCATCCTTGCATGTTTCTGGCCAAATATTATCAACATGGATTTTTTAGTAATTCATCAAGTGGTTCAAAGGTTTCAACATATTTTACCACTGTGACCTTTATATATGGTTGAAGGTCATTTATTTGAACACATTTGATAGACCTTGATACCAGCATGCTATGGCAAAGTATAATCACCCTTAACCTCTTGGATATACAGAAAAACATACAGAAAGAAATGTTAATTTTTTGTATTAGTCAATTGACCCCTGTGACCTTGAATATGACCATATGTTATCGACTTGAACAAAGTTAGTAGTACTTCATCCCTTCATGCTGCTGGTCAAATATTATCACCCTTGGCATTTTGGTTATCCAGAAGAAGTTGAAATGTTTTTAACTGTGACCTTGAATATGGATGAAGGTTATTAATTTGAAAACAATTGGTAGCCCTTTTTCCCTGTATGTTTCTGGCCAAATATTGGTTAAAAAGTAAAGGTAAAAGGTGACGTCGGACACATAAACACTGCTGTTATTCTTCATGCTTTGATGCTTATTATTATAACCACTATTCTCATCAATTAAGCTAGCAACAAATAGCACGCTCAACTTACTCTTTTGCTGGATTACTTTGAATGGATGTACCTATTAAATAAAAAAATGTATTAAACAATGTATTAAGCTAGGTGATAAATATACCATCAAAGCAAAACAACAACTATAAATATGTTCAAAATGTGTTGGCTATATGTGTGGAGTAGTTTTAAAAGTGACTATGCAATATATATAGGTATGCAGATTGAAAATACAAATGTTTGTTCATAAACAACACGACTTTGTTTTAATTACTTTTAATGAAATCAACAGCATCTAAATGTGTTTATAGTTGAGAGTATTACGTTTTATGTGTTTAAATTGATACTGTTTTTTGGAATAATTTGATTAAGGACTTCCCACCCTTCGTTATACACATGTTTTTCTTGTCGTATTTTCGTGTCGTCATTTCCGTATTGCGTATCGGGCATTCTATTACCGTAGTGTAAGTTATAGTAACACCGGGTAAACAAAAGTACACGTGCGTGACGATGATATGTCAACACCCGATATCGAGACTTAACTTGGAAATGTGTAATCACACGTACTTCAGAAATAAAGCTTATGATACAAAGACATTAATTAACTCCTTGGAAGACACTGACATAATATCAGACGACTTCAAGAAGGTCGTATATGAGGCGCATGTAATGCAGACTAATGTGTTTTTATTGTACGTATCACGTGCTAACAGTAGTTCACAAGCTCTTGGTCGCTACGACATTTGTTGTCGAGCGAGTTACGCTCTGTCAGATAAATCGTTTCACAAATGCAATTTCAATAACTCTGTGAAAATAGTGGTTTGTGAAATATCAAGATCCCTATAAATTGCATGTGCATGTGCGTGCACGTGATAACGGCATACCATGCGATAGCCTATGTTACATCATGCGTAGGCGGGCTATGGAATGATGTCCAAAGTGTACAGTAAATTGCCAATTAAATATAGTAATTCAATTTATTTCCGTCGTTTTTGGTTTAGTAAAGAAAATAAGTGTCATTGTAAGAATCTATCCCTCTCCAAAAAGTTCCGATTTTTTTCAAGTTAGACAACTCTTATCAGGATCAAAATTATTGTAAAATGTAAAATAAATGAGACTTTGTGTGTATTTGGCTCAATTTTTCACTCTTTTTGTATGAAACTATGTGTCCTGTTTGCTTTTAGCTTGTATTTAGTAACTTTTATCCATACAACTTCAAAAAAAAAACGCTTTTTGTAACATATTGTAGATATTTTATGATAAATAAAATATTTGTAGGGTTGATTAGAATTGTTTCTGACCATTATTTCACTGTTGTAATAGTTTTGAACGGTGCCACACACTCAAAAGATATGAAAGTGTTGAATTTGACAAAAAATCAATTTTTCGGTATTTTTTACAAAATATTCCCCGGTTTATCGGAATTATTAGATTTTCTTAAAATCACCTCTACATAGTGATATAACCATTATGTAAAACTTTCATTGAGTTCTGCCGACTAATTGTGAAAGGGTGGAGCCTCCTTAATTCGGCGATACATATGTTGTACGCGATACGGATTTTATTCTATAAAGGACGGTATCATTTATGACAAAATTGATTTCTATAATTTGAAATGGACTAGAATTTTATTTTCGACCAACATAACGAACGATATATGCCATGATATTAGTAAAGACAAATATATTGTTAAGGTTCCTTGCATAGCGTTGTCTGCAAAACAAATATATTGTTGATCGATTTCTCTTTTGGCGATAATAATCAAACTGACAGTTGTTCATCAGTGATACAGACCCGTTCACTTTGAACGAAGCGTTTGCGTAGCACTTGCGTACCGTTTGCGTAGCACTTGCTTAGTGTTTGTGTTTCCTGTTTCTGCTCAAAACACTGTAATTAAATATCTACATGTAGTACCAGAGTGTAACAATTGTACAGACTTGCCAGTCTGCTTCTGATATAAGCTGGTCAGGAGTAACATAGCAATGCCAATGATCTGCCTAGCATCAAAGCTACCTACAAGGGTTTGGGTGAAAATTATGTGCAGTCAACAGAGAAGATCAAAGATAAGAAAATTATCAATGTTCACCGTGTCGCTGGCAACGTTATAGTTATCCTTTAAGGTCCAACCAAAATTTCGGAAAAAATAGATAAATAATGATAATAGATGAGTTATTACCTGTCTGCGCTTTACTGAGGTCATCATAAACGTTTTGGTCAGATCGTTCTCGTAGCACCTCGTATACACTGTGTAAATAAATATGTGCGATAGTGGGAAAAAATTAAGATATATTTGAATATGACTATGTCTATAATCAGGTATATAAGTTTATGTTTTAATTTCCATCGATTTTCCTAAAATGATATAAGAAGCATAAGATAGTAGGTAGTACAACATGTATACAAATCATATTTGATAGTATATCGTAAATAAAAACTCACCGTTGCTGTTCCGCACTATCAACGGGTGATGTATCTGAAACAAATGTTTTATTTCCATTATTATACAATACATGTACTGAAAAAAAGCAGATGATTCAAATCTTGCCTAGTCGCCATATCTGCATCGATGGAGATATTGTTCTGGTAAATGTAGTATGCGGATACCTAGGCTTGTAACATCATGGCGGTAAAGCTATTCTTCAACAAGATAACGCGTTAGAGTGTTCGAGTCGCGTCAACAGGACCTTGTCTGTAGCAAAGCAATGTTCCTGTGTTGTATTATTGGTCATGTAAATTACCCGACTTGTCACTCACAGAGCACGTTTATAGCATTCTTGTATGAAGCCTTGTATGAGGAAATGTAAAAATAAGCCGTCTTATTTGCAGTACCTAACCCAGGCATCGACTGGTGAAAAGGAAAACAACCCCACTTACTTAGTCTATCGGTTTACCAGTTCAATATGGCGTCGATGCAACTCATTGTATAACTGAGTATGTATAAATCATATGCATCCCCTATTAAATGGCAACCGATACATATTAAAAATATTTGAGGTTGCCGATACCTTTCTCATAATTTTAGAAATATTTGAACCGCTTTACACACCCATTTTTCACATTAATACAAAAAGAATCTAGCCATCAGCAAAACTTCTCTAGCCGTTAAAAGACATCATTTCAATGGAAATTAAAAAAAGGACTTTTTTTCCAAAACTATTCAAGGAAATATGTATATCTCTTCCTTGATATATTTTAGCAAATCCTTTCTATTGCATTTGTTCCGGTTTCTTGTTCAGGAAAAACACATAAGTATACATTTAATATAAAATAGTCATTATTACAATGTGACGACATGATGATCGATGTTATCGATATTTGATAAATCAATGGAGATTTTCGTTTGGTTATTGAACTGAAAAGTGTTGTATATAAAATTCGTGAAAAATCTATCCACAACACAAAAATACCTCTAAACTTCCCTGGATCACCTACATTTTCATCGAGGTGTGTATGGAAAGAAAATGAAAGAAAACAAAGCATCGTACATGTTATGAACGAAGAAACATCCACATATTATCTACGGGAGTAACAATTGATTTATGAACAAACAGGTAGGATGATGCTGAGGAAGGGTATACACGGAACCAACATCTAAGCACACACAAAATAATTTGAAGATATGATTTGCAATATCCCAAAATGATACTCTAGCAATAATTTGCTACTGGTACAATGTCGTGCGTATACCTTCGTAGTGCTCAGCCGTCAAAGCGTTGTTGATCTGTTCATACGTTGAGGGTGGTTCTCGTTCATTTCGGTTTATTTGATCATATTGATTTCTGCAAATATATATATGACGTTGTTTTAAGATATGTTCGTTGTTTTTATTAGAATTGTAGGTGGATATAAAGTTTGAAAAAGAAATATCGGTTATCACAAATTAATGGGTTCTTTTGTTTGTAGAATGCATATTGATTTGATAGTATGAGATACATGCTCAATCAGTTGTTATTGATTTAATTAATTTTGTTCAACTACAGTTTTAGCATCAAATGATTATCTGCCAGAAATCTGACAGTTTGTGGAGATTAGGTAGCTCACCAAGCGACATTGACTGCGTTATGACATAAGTATCACTGAGCTTATTATTACATATCCAACGTCAGTTGTGTGGATCATTACAAACACTAACTCTAAATAATGATAATGACGTATACATTTGATCTTGCTTATCACAAAAGAATATCATTCAGCGCGTATATATACCTGAGAAAAATAAAACAAAACACCTAAGACTAAATTTCGCTAGTATTTTCGCCACAAATCTTAAGATTTATATTTATTGCATTGTAATATCATGGACATGCATGGCACATATAAGACGTCAAAAATAATGACGTCATATACGTTGTAATATATTTATATCAAATATGTCACATCAGATAAGACATTGATTATCAGTAGACAATCTTATAATTATAACAAATGTAAATCATATTTCGAATAAAATTATAATGAGTGTATATATTATACTTACTCATCTCTTCTCGTCTGCATTTCAACAACACTTGCTGAAGAAGAATTAATTTTAGATACTATAATCATAACATAAGATCTTATTTTTTATTGAAATTTTCTGCAACATTGTTGCCACTATTTTCACGTAAACTGGTCCCGGTTTCATGAACGTTCCTTTACTTTAAGGAGCACCTTAAAGCTGGTTTTCCTCAAACTGAAGGAGACCCTTTAGCTAAAATAAAATTCCGTTTCACAAATCTTCCTTAACTTAAATCCTCCCTTACATTAACGGAACCCCCACGACAACCCGGACGTTCATTGCTAAGGTGCTCCTAAAAACAAAAACTGACTAAGACATTTTCATATTAAGCGGAAACGATATCGGCGATTGTGACAAACAATAATAAGTCAGAATCTGTAAATATGTACGTCTCTGGTGGAGCGCAAATCTGAATTCCAATACCCGATGCAAACAATAGTGATAATTATTTCCCACCTGTAAGTACCACGTCATGCATCAGGTATGAATAAGTAGACTACGTAAAATGACTGGAAAACAAACAACGTACTTATTAAATGCCTCCTTGGACCAATCCCTAATTTTTGTCGTCCGGTTGACCCACCGATCAGTAAAAAAAAATACCAGGAAAAAATCAAGAAGGACGACGATCTCGTTCAAGGAAAACAATCTCCTTTCCCCCTTTATCCAGACTTACCACAGCAGTTCAATAAATTAGAAGAAATTAAGCAGTCAGAGATATCATGGGGCCTACCACAGCCGCAAAAAGACGTCGTTTGTTTACATTGGTTTCTGTACTTTTCTGATAAAAAAAGTTCTATTAAGGCCGCCTAGATTGGGAAAAATGTTAATGGAACTTCCTTAGTTAAGTTGATAAAGGTTCACGGAATGCATTTTTCAAGAAATCTTAGCTAAGGGATTTATTTTTATAACGAAATTAACACACAAAATGGTGAAAAGATAAAAAAAAAGTATACTATTTGCAGTATAATTCGAACAAATGAGAATAATTTAATGATAACGTATAAATTACTTCAACCTTTTTTGCTGACCACCATTCGTCTGCGTACCGCTACAAAGACAACTGTCATGATAACAATGGCAGAAAATCCTCCAAAAGTTCCTCCTAAAATTGCACCAATATCTGCAGCTTGTTCAATGGTTATCGCTTTATGAAACATAAAAATAAAATGTTTGTAATCTTCAAGGGTCAACAAAATTATGTACGATATTTAAGAAATTGAAAAACCAATGTTAACGTACATCAACACATACAGAAACTGACATAAACATTGAGGCTGGCGATAGCTTCTTCATTTACATTTCAAATAGTAACATCTTAACAGAAGCTTTTATAGTTTAATGGTCAAGGTACTGTGGAGAAGAACACTTACAAATAGTAGACGTGTTTGTAAATATGACACTACTCGAACCAAAGCTGTTGACGGCAGACAAACGGATTCTGTAAAACTTGTTTTCGTTCAGGTTTTCTATCTTGGCAGATTCCATGGTTTTACTGTGCGGTATGGGGGCCAACTTTATCCAGTCTGAAACTCCTGTAGCATATTCTACAATGAACTGCTGTGGAAAACCACCATCAAATCCGGCAGTCCACTCCATCCTGATACTATTTACAGCTCGTTCTGTTACTTGCAGATCTGTAGGTGCATCAGGTGGGCCTGTGAAATGGTATCCATTATAAGTAGTTGGTAACATCAGCATCATGAGAATATTTTTGACTGGAAACGCGCGGCAGAAAATGCAACTTTTGAATAACTGTTTAACTCAAAAAGGCGATAATTAATTAGGAAAGAATGATTAATACAAAATATTTCCCAAAAATGACAATTCAAATTTAATCTTAAGATATATTCGTATATTTGCTTGAAAAAATATTAAATTGAGATAAGAGATCTTGTGATTTTATGAACAAGACGTCCTTTGGCTTATAGTGAATAGATAGATAGTCGATGGAGATAATCCAATTTAATGTCTGGGGATGCTTGATAACCATCAAGACCTTCTCATACATTTCCTATGTTTTAAAGACGAAATACTAGGCAAGCAATCACGCTTCTGTTTCACTCGTTTGTTCTACGGATACCACAAACAAGTGTTATTACTAGGATACGGAACTGCCTATTGGATGAACAACGTCTTATATCGGTTGGTAAACCAAACCATTATCCAACTTCTTACTACAATTCCAAGTACCATTATACCATTATACCGTTGATTACAATATGACGCCATTACAAAAACGTTATCTTGTGGTACCAAAACAAATTGGTATTTTTTCATTGATCGAAACGTTTATTGCCTTATCACAAGACGACGCGAATTGAGTCCCGAAAGAAATCGTGTCTTGTTACCGAAAAGACCTAACACCGTAGATGGGTGACTTGTGGTGAAAACAACGCCAAGATGAAATATAATGAGGATGAAATCGTTAGAGTCATTGTTTTGAACTGAACTGAAATCAAGGGCGATAAAGACTCATCTACGTCAGCCGTTTTTTCTTTCTTTAGCTACAACATGTCTAACAGGGACGGCTTACTACTTAACTGTACAATAAGCGGGGGCAATTTCGATGTCCGTGAACTTTCCCTTCCCTGATGGTAACAGTTCACAGTACATTTGGTATTAAATAGAATACTTGGTTGATTTCGACTGTTGGCAGACAAACATACAACACATAATGTACAGGGATTCAAGTTGATGAAGATCACTAACCAGGTTTATGGAACCCATTATGATATCAATGGAAAAATGCAATTTGCTTGTGTAATATGAATATCGATATTTTACGCTCATAAATATGTCTTGTAGTTTTGTTGGCACTAGCCTGGTTCTTGATTCGAATACGGAGCATTGGACGCCTCCATGTAAATGTCTTCCTTTGTTCGTTTTGTCGAATTTGAATTCGAGTTATGGTTCTGTTTACACTACGATATACTTTTTGTGTTTTGGTCCACAAGATATGTTAAAATAATTGTCAAAGTAGCAAGGCCTTTAATGGTGAAACATATATAATACGTGTTCTCCATAACACCAGAATTCGTTACTAAAGGTATACTCTACAGCTTTTACTTGGGATGGAAATTTACCTGCTGCTTTAAGGTAAAATTCAAACTGTTGAACTCCCACTTCGTTGGTCACTTGGAGTGTGTAGTTACCAAAGTCTTCCTGTTGTAGAGTCTGGACGCTGATCTCTGTAGTGAATCCACCAACTGTTATGTTTGTACCATGGACTGTCAGAGAGACATTGGTTGGGACGGTGTTCAGCACAAACCGGTTACTGACTACTGACCGATTCCTGGAAAGTTCCACCTTACTGAGACCACTAGTACTGTAGAAGGGGATCAGTATGTTTATAGACGTTTCCTTTTGTCCTGGAAACACTGAAGTTTTGATACCATACACTGGTGGAGCTACAAATGAAGAATAGCTCTGATGTAAAAAAATATATAATAAATAAAAATGTTGAGTAATACATTGGACCCAATATCAAAACGAAATCTTGGTAATCCTCGAATTCCCGCGGCATAGAATGAAAATCAAGTCATTTTCTAAGTCCTAGACCTAAGTAATAATCCTTTATCCCAGAAAAATGACCCTCTGCTCGGCCTTTGATTCATATTCATCATATTTGACAACTGCATTAATTATTTGTCTGTTAAGGTCAACAGTTTAATCAGTTGAAAATCCGTCACTGTGGTAAATATATCACCGGAACAAACTTGATGCCAAACATGTATTACAAATATAATTATCCCAGATTTGTGTCCGCTGACATATTTGAACCGTGTAACGTAAATCATAGGATTGCTGTCATTTCTGTTAATCCAATATTGATTCTTGTTTTTACTCCAAGTCAGCTTCAATGCAATTATACTGACTTACATAACCAATATTCAAAAGCATAAACTTATTCAGCTATCAAAGTTTTGTTTTCTATGCACAAAACAATGGACAGACATGTCTCATGCAAATAGATGGAAAGGACATGTACAGCGGGATAATCAAACAATGCACCACGACAGATCATGTGAAAAAAACTACATGTATAATTGTCAAAAAACGCTCTTCTAATGATTCCCCTTTTCATTTCGTTTTTATATATAACTTAAGTTAAAACCTTGTTGTCTTTTCACGTAAAACAATTCTTTCATTGCTGTACAGTCAAATGACACAGTGAAAAATGGGACAAGCGATTGTTATTGGCCTTGCCATAGAATTTACAGAGAAAAATGAATAAAAAACAGAACACATTTTATGTTAAAATGTAAAACTACAGTTTTTATAAAAGAACATTCGCAATATCAAGATGATTATTCGTATAAGAAACATTTTGAATGTTTTAAAACGCTACATACCTATGATATAAATGACAAATATGATCTTACGAACTGAAGTAATCATCTTTTCAGTGTTAAGTCAGTTTTTAGTTAAGGTATATTCTTTCTTCCCTACACTAGTAACACTCTTTACCTATTATGCCCTATATCACGTTTGTCTCCTCCCTTCATCCATTTACGAAATATTCAAATCTATTGGCTCTGGTATGCCTAATATGGATTCGTGTTGATGACTGAATGATAGACGACGTACCGCAACAAATAACACAACACACATACTCCAAGGTAGTCTTGATCTGAGAAGACGGTGTTATAAGGTAATAACACCTTTGACTTCTGCTACATTATCATCGGGCACTTTCTCTTGATAACTCGGATGATTGGCATTAATTATAGAGAGCTAAGACTCATTTGCGTGGTATTTTTTGTTAGTTTTAAAACCGTGTTTACTTTGATAAGGGGTCGACCTAATATATTTGTACAAACAAAAGCGAATATAGAGGAGAATGAAAAAATGTTATGTGATCTAGAAAAGAATTTGAAATCATAAAAACATTATCTTAAACGAACGATGAAAAAAAGACAAATCGCCTACGCATTGTTTGTAATTCGGAAAGGCAAATTAAAATATACACACCTTTTACATTGAAGAACTCTGTCCGACTAAACACCAACTGGCCGTTCATGCCAAGTACTCCGTTTTCCACACTACATACATAGTAACCAGTATCCTGGTATCTGGTGTCTAGACCAGGGTCAGGAATTGTCAGCACAGACTCACGACCAATGGTCACTCCATCAAGTTCACGAATCAACTGACCATACACAGATATATGCTGCCATTTCAAAAATGTGAAAGATCGAGGATTCCCATCAGGTGAACATCTCAAATGTCTAGTGGCAGAGTCGTCATCATAGGNTGTAGATATTTTATGATAAATAAAATATTTGTAGGGTTGATTAGAATTGTTTCTGACCATTATTTCACTGTTGTAATAGTTTTGAACGGTGCCACACACTCAAAAGATATGAAAGTGTTGAATTTGACAAAAAATCAATTTTTCGGTATTTTTTACAAAATATTCCCCGGTTTATCGGAATTATTAGATTTTCTTAAAATCACCTCTACATAGTGATATAACCATTATGTAAAACTTTCATTGAGTTCTGCCGACTAATTGTGAAAGGGTGGAGCCTCCTTAATTCGGCGATACATATGTTGTACGCGATACGGATTTTATTCTATAAAGGACGGTATCATTTATGACAAAATTGATTTCTATAATTTGAAATGGACTAGAATTTTATTTTCGACCAACATAACGAACGATATATGCCATGATATTAGTAAAGACAAATATATTGTTAAGGTTCCTTGCATAGCGTTGTCTGCAAAACAAATATATTGTTGATCGATTTCTCTTTTGGCGATAATAATCAAACTGACAGTTGTTCATCAGTGATACAGACCCGTTCACTTTGAACGAAGCGTTTGCGTAGCACTTGCGTACCGTTTGCGTAGCACTTGCTTAGTGTTTGTGTTTCCTGTTTCTGCTCAAAACACTGTAATTAAATATCTACATGTAGTACCAGAGTGTAACAATTGTACAGACTTGCCAGTCTGCTTCTGATATAAGCTGGTCAGGAGTAACATAGCAATGCCAATGATCTGCCTAGCATCAAAGCTACCTACAAGGGTTTGGGTGAAAATTATGTGCAGTCAACAGAGAAGATCAAAGATAAGAAAATTATCAATGTTCACCGTGTCGCTGGCAACGTTATAGTTATCCTTTAAGGTCCAACCAAAATTTCGGAAAAAATAGATAAATAATGATAATAGATGAGTTATTACCTGTCTGCGCTTTACTGAGGTCATCATAAACGTTTTGGTCAGATCGTTCTCGTAGCACCTCGTATACACTGTGTAAATAAATATGTGCGATAGTGGGAAAAAATTAAGATATATTTGAATATGACTATGTCTATAATCAGGTATATAAGTTTATGTTTTAATTTCCATCGATTTTCCTAAAATGATATAAGAAGCATAAGATAGTAGGTAGTACAACATGTATACAAATCATATTTGATAGTATATCGTAAATAAAAACTCACCGTTGCTGTTCCGCACTATCAACGGGTGATGTATCTGAAACAAATGTTTTATTTCCATTATTATACAATACATGTACTGAAAAAAAGCAGATGATTCAAATCTTGCCTAGTCGCCATATCTGCATCGATGGAGATATTGTTCTGGTAAATGTAGTATGCGGATACCTAGGCTTGTAACATCATGGCGGTAAAGCTATTCTTCAACAAGATAACGCGTTAGAGTGTTCGAGTCGCGTCAACAGGACCTTGTCTGTAGCAAAGCAATGTTCCTGTGTTGTATTATTGGTCATGTAAATTACCCGACTTGTCACTCACAGAGCACGTTTATAGCATTCTTGTATGAAGCCTTGTATGAGGAAATGTAAAAATAAGCCGTCTTATTTGCAGTACCTAACCCAGGCATCGACTGGTGAAAAGGAAAACAACCCCACTTACTTAGTCTATCGGTTTACCAGTTCAATATGGCGTCGATGCAACTCATTGTATAACTGAGTATGTATAAATCATATGCATCCCCTATTAAATGGCAACCGATACATATTAAAAATATTTGAGGTTGCCGATACCTTTCTCATAATTTTAGAAATATTTGAACCGCTTTACACACCCATTTTTCACATTAATACAAAAAGAATCTAGCCATCAGCAAAACTTCTCTAGCCGTTAAAAGACATCATTTCAATGGAAATTAAAAAAAGGACTTTTTTTCCAAAACTATTCAAGGAAATATGTATATCTCTTCCTTGATATATTTTAGCAAATCCTTTCTATTGCATTTGTTCCGGTTTCTTGTTCAGGAAAAACACATAAGTATACATTTAATATAAAATAGTCATTATTACAATGTGACGACATGATGATCGATGTTATCGATATTTGATAAATCAATGGAGATTTTCGTTTGGTTATTGAACTGAAAAGTGTTGTATATAAAATTCGTGAAAAATCTATCCACAACACAAAAATACCTCTAAACTTCCCTGGATCACCTACATTTTCATCGAGGTGTGTATGGAAAGAAAATGAAAGAAAACAAAGCATCGTACATGTTATGAACGAAGAAACATCCACATATTATCTACGGGAGTAACAATTGATTTATGAACAAACAGGTAGGATGATGCTGAGGAAGGGTATACACGGAACCAACATCTAAGCACACACAAAATAATTTGAAGATATGATTTGCAATATCCCAAAATGATACTCTAGCAATAATTTGCTACTGGTACAATGTCGTGCGTATACCTTCGTAGTGCTCAGCCGTCAAAGCGTTGTTGATCTGTTCATACGTTGAGGGTGGTTCTCGTTCATTTCGGTTTATTTGATCATATTGATTTCTGCAAATATATATATGACGTTGTTTTAAGATATGTTCGTTGTTTTTATTAGAATTGTAGGTGGATATAAAGTTTGAAAAAGAAATATCGGTTATCACAAATTAATGGGTTCTTTTGTTTGTAGAATGCATATTGATTTGATAGTATGAGATACATGCTCAATCAGTTGTTATTGATTTAATTAATTTTGTTCAACTACAGTTTTAGCATCAAATGATTATCTGCCAGAAATCTGACAGTTTGTGGAGATTAGGTAGCTCACCAAGCGACATTGACTGCGTTATGACATAAGTATCACTGAGCTTATTATTACATATCCAACGTCAGTTGTGTGGATCATTACAAACACTAACTCTAAATAATGATAATGACGTATACATTTGATCTTGCTTATCACAAAAGAATATCATTCAGCGCGTATATATACCTGAGAAAAATAAAACAAAACACCTAAGACTAAATTTCGCTAGTATTTTCGCCACAAATCTTAAGATTTATATTTATTGCATTGTAATATCATGGACATGCATGGCACATATAAGACGTCAAAAATAATGACGTCATATACGTTGTAATATATTTATATCAAATATGTCACATCAGATAAGACATTGATTATCAGTAGACAATCTTATAATTATAACAAATGTAAATCATATTTCGAATAAAATTATAATGAGTGTATATATTATACTTACTCATCTCTTCTCGTCTGCATTTCAACAACACTTGCTGAAGAAGAATTAATTTTAGATACTATAATCATAACATAAGATCTTATTTTTTATTGAAATTTTCTGCAACATTGTTGCCACTATTTTCACGTAAACTGGTCCCGGTTTCATGAACGTTCCTTTACTTTAAGGAGCACCTTAAAGCTGGTTTTCCTCAAACTGAAGGAGACCCTTTAGCTAAAATAAAATTCCGTTTCACAAATCTTCCTTAACTTAAATCCTCCCTTACATTAACGGAACCCCCACGACAACCCGGACGTTCATTGCTAAGGTGCTCCTAAAAACAAAAACTGACTAAGACATTTTCATATTAAGCGGAAACGATATCGGCGATTGTGACAAACAATAATAAGTCAGAATCTGTAAATATGTACGTCTCTGGTGGAGCGCAAATCTGAATTCCAATACCCGATGCAAACAATAGTGATAATTATTTCCCACCTGTAAGTACCACGTCATGCATCAGGTATGAATAAGTAGACTACGTAAAATGACTGGAAAACAAACAACGTACTTATTAAATGCCTCCTTGGACCAATCCCTAATTTTTGTCGTCCGGTTGACCCACCGATCAGTAAAAAAAAATACCAGGAAAAAATCAAGAAGGACGACGATCTCGTTCAAGGAAAACAATCTCCTTTCCCCCTTTATCCAGACTTACCACAGCAGTTCAATAAATTAGAAGAAATTAAGCAGTCAGAGATATCATGGGGCCTACCACAGCCGCAAAAAGACGTCGTTTGTTTACATTGGTTTCTGTACTTTTCTGATAAAAAAAGTTCTATTAAGGCCGCCTAGATTGGGAAAAATGTTAATGGAACTTCCTTAGTTAAGTTGATAAAGGTTCACGGAATGCATTTTTCAAGAAATCTTAGCTAAGGGATTTATTTTTATAACGAAATTAACACACAAAATGGTGAAAAGATAAAAAAAAAGTATACTATTTGCAGTATAATTCGAACAAATGAGAATAATTTAATGATAACGTATAAATTACTTCAACCTTTTTTGCTGACCACCATTCGTCTGCGTACCGCTACAAAGACAACTGTCATGATAACAATGGCAGAAAATCCTCCAAAAGTTCCTCCTAAAATTGCACCAATATCTGCAGCTTGTTCAATGGTTATCGCTTTATGAAACATAAAAATAAAATGTTTGTAATCTTCAAGGGTCAACAAAATTATGTACGATATTTAAGAAATTGAAAAACCAATGTTAACGTACATCAACACATACAGAAACTGACATAAACATTGAGGCTGGCGATAGCTTCTTCATTTACATTTCAAATAGTAACATCTTAACAGAAGCTTTTATAGTTTAATGGTCAAGGTACTGTGGAGAAGAACACTTACAAATAGTAGACGTGTTTGTAAATATGACACTACTCGAACCAAAGCTGTTGACGGCAGACAAACGGATTCTGTAAAACTTGTTTTCGTTCAGGTTTTCTATCTTGGCAGATTCCATGGTTTTACTGTGCGGTATGGGGGCCAACTTTATCCAGTCTGAAACTCCTGTAGCATATTCTACAATGAACTGCTGTGGAAAACCACCATCAAATCCGGCAGTCCACTCCATCCTGATACTATTTACAGCTCGTTCTGTTACTTGCAGATCTGTAGGTGCATCAGGTGGGCCTGTGAAATGGTATCCATTATAAGTAGTTGGTAACATCAGCATCATGAGAATATTTTTGACTGGAAACGCGCGGCAGAAAATGCAACTTTTGAATAACTGTTTAACTCAAAAAGGCGATAATTAATTAGGAAAGAATGATTAATACAAAATATTTCCCAAAAATGACAATTCAAATTTAATCTTAAGATATATTCGTATATTTGCTTGAAAAAATATTAAATTGAGATAAGAGATCTTGTGATTTTATGAACAAGACGTCCTTTGGCTTATAGTGAATAGATAGATAGTCGATGGAGATAATCCAATTTAATGTCTGGGGATGCTTGATAACCATCAAGACCTTCTCATACATTTCCTATGTTTTAAAGACGAAATACTAGGCAAGCAATCACGCTTCTGTTTCACTCGTTTGTTCTACGGATACCACAAACAAGTGTTATTACTAGGATACGGAACTGCCTATTGGATGAACAACGTCTTATATCGGTTGGTAAACCAAACCATTATCCAACTTCTTACTACAATTCCAAGTACCATTATACCATTATACCGTTGATTACAATATGACGCCATTACAAAAACGTTATCTTGTGGTACCAAAACAAATTGGTATTTTTTCATTGATCGAAACGTTTATTGCCTTATCACAAGACGACGCGAATTGAGTCCCGAAAGAAATCGTGTCTTGTTACCGAAAAGACCTAACACCGTAGATGGGTGACTTGTGGTGAAAACAACGCCAAGATGAAATATAATGAGGATGAAATCGTTAGAGTCATTGTTTTGAACTGAACTGAAATCAAGGGCGATAAAGACTCATCTACGTCAGCCGTTTTTTCTTTCTTTAGCTACAACATGTCTAACAGGGACGGCTTACTACTTAACTGTACAATAAGCGGGGGCAATTTCGATGTCCGTGAACTTTCCCTTCCCTGATGGTAACAGTTCACAGTACATTTGGTATTAAATAGAATACTTGGTTGATTTCGACTGTTGGCAGACAAACATACAACACATAATGTACAGGGATTCAAGTTGATGAAGATCACTAACCAGGTTTATGGAACCCATTATGATATCAATGGAAAAATGCAATTTGCTTGTGTAATATGAATATCGATATTTTACGCTCATAAATATGTCTTGTAGTTTTGTTGGCACTAGCCTGGTTCTTGATTCGAATACGGAGCATTGGACGCCTCCATGTAAATGTCTTCCTTTGTTCGTTTTGTCGAATTTGAATTCGAGTTATGGTTCTGTTTACACTACGATATACTTTTTGTGTTTTGGTCCACAAGATATGTTAAAATAATTGTCAAAGTAGCAAGGCCTTTAATGGTGAAACATATATAATACGTGTTCTCCATAACACCAGAATTCGTTACTAAAGGTATACTCTACAGCTTTTACTTGGGATGGAAATTTACCTGCTGCTTTAAGGTAAAATTCAAACTGTTGAACTCCCACTTCGTTGGTCACTTGGAGTGTGTAGTTACCAAAGTCTTCCTGTTGTAGAGTCTGGACGCTGATCTCTGTAGTGAATCCACCAACTGTTATGTTTGTACCATGGACTGTCAGAGAGACATTGGTTGGGACGGTGTTCAGCACAAACCGGTTACTGACTACTGACCGATTCCTGGAAAGTTCCACCTTACTGAGACCACTAGTACTGTAGAAGGGGATCAGTATGTTTATAGACGTTTCCTTTTGTCCTGGAAACACTGAAGTTTTGATACCATACACTGGTGGAGCTACAAATGAAGAATAGCTCTGATGTAAAAAAATATATAATAAATAAAAATGTTGAGTAATACATTGGACCCAATATCAAAACGAAATCTTGGTAATCCTCGAATTCCCGCGGCATAGAATGAAAATCAAGTCATTTTCTAAGTCCTAGACCTAAGTAATAATCCTTTATCCCAGAAAAATGACCCTCTGCTCGGCCTTTGATTCATATTCATCATATTTGACAACTGCATTAATTATTTGTCTGTTAAGGTCAACAGTTTAATCAGTTGAAAATCCGTCACTGTGGTAAATATATCACCGGAACAAACTTGATGCCAAACATGTATTACAAATATAATTATCCCAGATTTGTGTCCGCTGACATATTTGAACCGTGTAACGTAAATCATAGGATTGCTGTCATTTCTGTTAATCCAATATTGATTCTTGTTTTTACTCCAAGTCAGCTTCAATGCAATTATACTGACTTACATAACCAATATTCAAAAGCATAAACTTATTCAGCTATCAAAGTTTTGTTTTCTATGCACAAAACAATGGACAGACATGTCTCATGCAAATAGATGGAAAGGACATGTACAGCGGGATAATCAAACAATGCACCACGACAGATCATGTGAAAAAAACTACATGTATAATTGTCAAAAAACGCTCTTCTAATGATTCCCCTTTTCATTTCGTTTTTATATATAACTTAAGTTAAAACCTTGTTGTCTTTTCACGTAAAACAATTCTTTCATTGCTGTACAGTCAAATGACACAGTGAAAAATGGGACAAGCGATTGTTATTGGCCTTGCCATAGAATTTACAGAGAAAAATGAATAAAAAACAGAACACATTTTATGTTAAAATGTAAAACTACAGTTTTTATAAAAGAACATTCGCAATATCAAGATGATTATTCGTATAAGAAACATTTTGAATGTTTTAAAACGCTACATACCTATGATATAAATGACAAATATGATCTTACGAACTGAAGTAATCATCTTTTCAGTGTTAAGTCAGTTTTTAGTTAAGGTATATTCTTTCTTCCCTACACTAGTAACACTCTTTACCTATTANTAAACAGATGTGATATTACAGACAGATAATGTTATTGAATGTGATGGTCATCTGGTCAGGGGGATCTGTGTGATAAACAGAAGTGATAATACAGACAGATAATGATATTGTATGTGATGATCATCTGATCAGGAGGATCTGTGTGATAAACAGAAGTGATATTACAGAGAGATAATGTTATTGCATGTGATGGTCATCTGATCAGGAGGATCTGTGTGATAAACAGATGTGATATTACGGACAGAGAATGTTATTGTATTTGATGGTCATGTGGTCAGGGGGATCGGTGTGATAAACAGACGTGATATTACAGACAGATAATGTTATTGAATGTGATGGTCATCTGGTCAGGGGGATCGTTGTGATAAACAGAAGTGACAATACAGACAGATAATGTTATTTTATGTGATGGTCATCTGGTCAGGAGGTTCTGTGTGATAAACAGAAGTGATAATACAGACCGATATTATTATTGTATGTGATGGTCATCTGGTCAGGTGGATCTGTGTGATAAACATATGTGATATTACAGACAGATAATGTAATTGTATGTAATGGTCATCTGGTCAGGAGGATCTGTGTGAGAAACAGAAGTGATAATACAGACAGATAATGATATTGTATGTGATGGTCATCTGGTCAGGTGGATCTGTGTGATAAACATATGTGATATTACAGACAGATAATGTAATTGTATGTAATGGTCATCTGGTCAGGAGGATCTGCGTGATAAACAGATGTGATATTACAGACAGAGGATGTTATTGTATTTGATGGTCATGTGTTCAGGGGGATCTGTGTGATAAACAGAAGTGATCTTACAGAGAGATAATGTTATTGCATATGATGGTCATCTGATCAGGAGGATCTGTGTGATAAACAAAGTGACAATACAGACAGATAATGTTATTTTATGTGATGGTCATCTGGTCAGGAGAATCTGTGTGATAAACAGAAGTGATAATACAGCCAGATAATGTTATTGTATGTGATAGTCATCTGGTCAGGAGGATCTGTGTGATAAACAGATGTGATATTACAGACAGAGAATGTTATTGTATTTGATGGTCATGTGGTCAGGGGGATCTGTGTGATAAACAGACGTGATATTACAGACAGATAATGTTAATGTATGTGATTGTCATGTGGTCAGGGGGATCTGTGTGATAAACAGACGTGATAATACAGACAGATAATGTTATTGTATGTGATGGTCATCTGGTCAGGGGGATCTGTGCGATAAACAGAGGTGACAATACAGACAGATAGTGTTAGTGTATGTGATGGTCATCTGGTCAGGTGGATCTGTGTGATAAACAGACGTGATATTACAGACAGATAATGTTAATGTATGTGATGGTCATGTGGTCAGGGGGATATGTGTGATAAACAGATGTGATATTACAGACAGATAATGTTATTGTATGTGATGGTCATCTGGTCGGGTGGATCTGTGTGATAAACAGATGTGATATTACAGACAGATAATGTTATTGTATGTGATGGTCATCTGGTCAGGGGGATCTGTGTGATAAACAGATGTGATATTACAGACAGATAATGTTATTGTATGTGATGGTCATCTGGTCAGGGGGATCTGTGTGATAAACAGAGGTGACAATACAGACAGATAGTGTTAGTGTATGTGATGGTCATCTGGTCAGGGGGTTCTTTGTGATAAACAGAAGTGACAATACAGACAGATAATGTTATTATAATGTTATTGTATGTGATGGTCATCTGGTCAGGAGGATCTGTGTGATAAACAGAAGTGATAATACACACAGATAATGTTATTGTATGTGATGGTCATCTGATCAGGAGGATGATAATGTTAATGTATGTGATGGTCATGTGGTCAGGGGGATATGTGTGCTAAACAGATGTGATATTACAGACAGATAATGATATTGTATGTGATGGTCATCTGGTCGGGTGGATCTGTGTGATAAACAGATGTGATTTTACAGACAGATAATGATATTGTATGTGATGGTCATCTGGTCGGGTGGATCTGTGTGATAAACAGATGTGATATTACAGACAGATAATGATATTGTATGTGATGGTCATCTGATCAGGGGGATCTGTGTGATAAACAGAAGTGATATTACAGACAGATAATGTTATTGTATGTGATGGTCATCTGGTCAGGGGGATCTGTGTGATAAACAGAAGTGATATTACAGACAGATAATGTTATTGTATGTGATGGTCATCTGGTCAGGGGAGTCTGTGAGATAAACAGATGTGATATTACAGACAGATAATGATATTGTATGTGATGGTCATCTGATCAGGGGGATCTGTGTGATAAACAGAAGAGATATTACAGACAGATAATGTTATTGTATGTGATGGTCATCTAGTCAGGGGATCTGTTTGATAAACAGAAGTGACAATACAGACAGATAATGTTATTGTATGTGATGGTCATCTAGTCAGGGGGATCTGTGTGTTAAACAGAAGTGTTGATACACAAACTTTTTCTAAGGTTGTAGAAGGCAAGAATCGCACGTACAAGTATGCAAATTGACTTTGTTAGTGTTTTTGTTTTCCTATTTGTGGTAATGAAACATTATTCTTCGTTAAATTAGATAGATTAAAGGGAAATAAAGAATGATATTTCCTTGTATAAAAGGAAATGATTTTTATATGCATGCTGTTAAAATCTGTTAAGTAAATTATACTGAATATAAGTTGTTTGAGCATACATAAAGCAACAATGAATCAATTATATTTAAATGCATCACTTTATCTCATTTGTACATATACAATACAGAAGAACCATGTTTTTAATTCAAATGATGAACTATTCAACACTAAGATGAATAACTTTTTAAACCACTAAACAAAGTCTGGTAAATAATAAAAGTAGGTGATTTTTTGTACAATTAGTTGTCAGCAATATTAAACAATATATTTGTAAGTCTCTTCTACAAATAGCTTGTGTTCAGGTGTTCATGTAATGCAGTTCTGTGGAAAATAAGACACTAGTTTATTGCGTCATTTTGTATTTAAAGGCAGTACACTATGTGCATAGTAAAGGAATATTACTGGTTGCAAAAATAGGTGGATCAAATGCTATTCTTTAAGTCAATTTATAAAATTCGGTGAGATGTATAAACTGATCTGTTGTGTATAACATTCAATTGCTAGTATTCTAAAGGCATCATGTTGAAGGTATTTTGACATTTAAGTCTCAGAAATGTGAAAGCTGATTTATTTAGAAGGATAATTAGAGTTCTTGGAACAATTTTATTCAAAGGTTGAGTGCTTGTTCTAAAAAATGCAAAGTATGTATAATAAACGGTTTGACATCTGGTCAGGGTGATTTGTATGATAGAAATATGGTTCAGGATAATTTGTATGATACACAGAAGGTCATCAGGTCAAAGTGATATGTATGATAAACGTATACTTAAGGGGTCAGGGTGATCTGTAAGATAAACTGATGGTCGTCTTGTCAGGATGATCTGTATGGTAAACAGCTGGTCATCCTGTCAGGGTTATAGCTGTGCTGAACATCAAATAAGATATTATTAAGCATTGAACTGATTTGAGTTGGTATTTATTGCCAATATGAATGCCAACTTGACATGGCGAATTCAGTGAAGCGCACTTCATAACAGAATTGCCTATATCCAGTTGCCTATGGATGCCTATTAAAACATTTGGATTCCTAACTTTTAATTACTTTTATTATCATTATTAATTTATTTAGGAACTTGTATTTATCGTATAAGCCTGATATGAATAAAACAGCTATCTGTCCAGAGTGGGTCAGGGGTATCCAACGTAATACTTAGGACGTAATAACAATGATGACGTCAACAATGTCAAGGCTATTAGGTGGTTAATATACATGTATTCCGTCTTTGTGTATTGCAGTTATCTGCTCTTGTGAGCAGGTATTGATTGTTACGTCATTGGTTTGGTTGAGAAAATTACGTCGTTTTCTCAAACATTGATGACGTTACTCTCACAAATAGATGACGTAACAATCAATACATGCTCACAAGAGCAGATAACTCTGCAATATGAAAACACGGAATAGTCTAATGATACACATTGGCAGTTAGAGTAATGCACTTATGTAATGTTGTTTTTGTTTATAATCATTAGTGTATTGCTCTGTTCCCTTATACATTGTATACTATATATGATACTTACAGTGAACAGTGATGTCAATATCTAACATGTTGGTTTTCTGTGAGTTCGTAGCTGTACAGCGGTATGTGCCATCGTCGTGTCTACTGACAGATGGTATCACAAGGACACCGTTGGTCTGTGTTGTCCCTGGTGACGGCTGACTTCTGGGGCTGGACCAGAACTCACTGCTGTCGGGGTAACTGTCTACGTCACATGTAATTGTGAGTTGTCGACCCTCTATGACAGGTGATGAGGGGGAACTTGCCACGGTGATGTAAGGTTGGTCTGAAATCGAAGATAGTTTGGTCTGCATTCAGTGTCCCCAAAACTAAATGAAAATGATAGGCTACTATGTCTGAAATAACCAAAACTGCTCTACTTTAACTTGGTTATTTTTGATTTGTTAATGGGGGTTTTTAACGCAAAGATGTTAACGCTAGGATTGGGGTGGGGTGGGTGGGGTGGGGGTAGTGCCACAGTAATGTATGGCTGGTCTGAAATGGACAGCACTTATACATTCAATGTGGTAAAACAATAAACAAATATGATCATATGTCCGACACGAACAAATAACATGAGTTTGTAATCACGTGTGCTTCCTCTATCAGTAAAGCATTATTGTTTTATAGATATTTTAACATCGTTATTTCTACCATTAGCATATCATAAGATGTATGATACAGTGTATTTTCATTTGCATCCATTCCGAAATTATATTTGTGTTATCACACGTGCGTGGCTTACTTTCATTTTCAAGATACAATGTAGCAAAATCTGCTTAGGAATTTCTGAATTCCCGAGCTTAACAGTGATCTTGTCACTTTTAGTGCTGTGCCAAGATTCATAATACTTCATTTGTTTCATCAAGCTAGTGATCCTCCATTTTGTTGAAGTTCTTATAATAAATGAGTTTTCTGCACCTTCACCTCTATTTTAACAGTAAGGGGTTTTACATTAGTGCAGACCAGTTTGGACTTTAAATTATTCTTCCCCTAGCATCACTGATGGGTTCTGGAAGAGTGCCTGCAACAGGTGCTTGGTACAGTGTTATTCATATTTGGCATACCTTATGAATATAAAATGAATCATGATTTAAACCACTTGTGTGCATCTTATCACTTTACAGATACTTCCGTTCCTCCAATACTTTATGAAATAGAAGAAAGAGTAAAAGCAACAAAAAGAACCTATAAGAAGTCGTTTTAGCATTTTGATACATTAGGCTATTGATACCAAGTGACTTTGACCATGAGCCAATGTCGTTTCAATTTGACAATTTTTGTGAAATATAAATAGAAAACAGAAACTTCTGAAATATTAATATCCTGGATGGTAATTTAAAAAAAAAAACACATACGAAATTTTGTTAAAATAAGTTTCATCACATGATAGACCACGGACAACAAATTTATTTGAATAAATGGCAAAACAGTGTTAAGTTTACCTCGCTCAGTAATGTTTCGTATAGTTTTCAGTGGTCTTTCAACGTGTTACCTATACCGATTATGCTGAACCCCCCACATTATTATAATTATTTCTAAAACCAGCCAGGTGAGCGATATCTATCTCAATAGTTAATCCAGTAAATATATATATATATGTTGAACGGAGTTGTTTCTATGGCTTCATGTTTAATATAGATGTAACCGATTTGCGTTCATACCGGCATGAAAATGAAAAAAACGCCGTTCCATTCATATATTTACATTTTTACTATAGAATAATTGTTTATTTGATTTACTGCGTTTTGTATATGCGTCGTCCTTCAAACGATATTTGTGGAACAGCCCTATTAAAACAAAATTGGCTCCAATAATTAACCGAAGTAATTTCAGGTTTAACGCATGGGCATTCTCCATGTTATCCGAAGCAAACCACGTGTTACGTCACGAAAGTATTTGCTTTCATATTCAAATGGAATGCATTTATGCTTGCAATGTTCGTTTATACATGCCTGAACCAAAAAGTGGACCATGCATGTCAAACTTATGTTAACTAAACAACTTACACAACACAGTAAGGGTAGTTGTGGCACTGACATGACGACTTCTGTCTGGTGACGTTACGACACAGGTAATGACAACACCGTCATCGTATCGGGACAGATGTGTGGACCATGTCTGGGACGTCCTCTTTCCGTTGTATACACCATCGAACTCCAATACTGATGACGTCACGGGGAGATCCCTAGATCCATTCATCCAGGTGTAGGTTGGGACAGGATTAGACTCGTTTGACAAACACACCAAATTCATGGAAGTAGTTTCTGTAAGTTGTCCACTAATCCCAGAAAAGTGTACCTCATCTGGACCAACTGGCAAATGAAACAAACCATACTTAACTGAGCATGCTAGTAATGTTATCAGTTTAAAATAGTTACAGTTTGTAATATTGTCACAGTAAACTGTTTGTATAGTGATGACATAAGTTGCTGTCACTGCTACCATGGAAACAGAATGGTATTTTCAATGATTCAGTAGGAATGGTACTGTAGGAGTGTGACAGAATACCTGTATTATAAAGAGTCAGAGGCATCATTTAAAATGTGTTGATTTTTTTCCGTTAAAAAGTAAAAGTATATTTAAGCGGTAAACTATGAAATAATGAACGTTAACAAACCTTTGAAATATGGCAGTCTGGTGACGACGTATAGAGTCGTATGTAGGTTTGTTAGATAGAAACATTTTACCTGTGTCAAGTTTAGGTGAGAATGTACGCTTTTTAGATATCGTATAGATTTATTACGACCATATTTGGAAAGAATAGATAAGAGTATGACATACCAAATGTATACTTAATGTTAAACGTGCTTGGCTATGTCAGATACCGACCTTGACCAAAATATAAATTTAACGATGCCACGTATCATATTTAAAAGACGTCACGTTTAGGAAAGTCGGCCGATATTGTATTTAACATTTGAACAAACACATTTGTATAAATGCACTCTTTAGTCAAGATCTAGAGTAGGATATATCCCAAATTTGGGGTTACCAAGTACACATGAGTTGAATAGAGTTATCCCTGACGATTGTTCCACGTGTCCCATGCTCATCTTGATTCTGCATAGGTAATAGGGTTGTTTCCCTTGATTAAACACGATTATAACAAGATCCTTTGTCATTCAGTCAATTATATGTAATGTCTTAGATTCTTATTGCAGAAACATGGTCATGTTTAGAAAAAAGTCGCTTATTCTAATCTGAATAAATAAATGAAGAACATATAATATGTTTATGTTTGAATCTCATAATAAAGCCAAGAAGCTGGGAAGAAATTTACAATTTATAGTAAACAACACGAAACTTAGGTGAAAAAGTGTTAAAAGGTAAATTTCAGAGAACTTATAGTTCGGAAAAAGCGTAAAACGTACAGGATAACAACCTTGGACGATAGTTATTATTATCTGGAACACTCTAAGAGGATGGAATGATTTAGACAATATGCAACTTCTTAAATTTTGTAATATGTAAAATGGGCTTAACTCGCATAAACACCCCCAGAGAGATAGACGAACATTCTTGTTCAGTAAACCCACCCACCTCATTCAGGAGGATATAAACTAACATCAGATTCTGGGGAATACAACAACCACCCGTTACACTTACACAATACCACGAACGTCTCATTGAGTGACCTTAGGTAACTGTTGGCCGGATGTCTGGACACACAGGTACACGTCAGTCCATTATACGTCCTGTTCACAGACACCAGGACACGGGAAGTGATCGTTGTTGTGTCACTACTCTCTGTTGGGGTCGTCCCACTACACACACCAGACCAGGTAAGTGTGGCCAGAGGTTTGCCTCCAGTCTGTTGACACGTCAGTGTTACTGACACGCCCTCTGTCAGAGTCGTAGTGGGCGGGTCTCTGGTCAGGATTGGGTCAGTCTGTGGTTCCCCTGAGGACAATTATGTTAAACAAATCAAGCAAAACATGACCATGTCCCTGTTGTTATCTCAAATTATAACATGTTCGGCCACAATAACTATGTGCTTTTTTATATATTATATCTTTGTCATGCCACTTTATTCCAAAATAAAACAAATGCGAAACTTAACGTCCCAGAGATTAGTTATACAAAATGAGTCAATATTGGCACCCTAAGAAAATGTTACTAAGGTAAGTATTAAAAAAAGCACGGGTTATTGTGAAACAAACCAGTAAATATGTTTACCAATAATAGAATAAGTAGAAACTTATGAAACATTGTTTTGATATTTCATAAAGAGTCATGAAGTAATCCAAAATACCTAATAAATGCAATTTACAACATAATCCGAAGTAGGCAATGAATAAATACAATTTACACTAGAACCATTAACCTTAAAACGCGCTATCATGTATTCAACTTTTGACAATTGACTAATGCTTATCAAACACTGTCCGACATATCTAACTTGTGACCACTGACACTAGGACTAATACTAATACCACACTGTACAACATATCTAACTTGTGACCACTGACACTAGGACTAATACTTATAACACACTGTACAACATATCTCACTTGTGACCACTGACACTAGAACTAATACTTATAACACACTGTACAACATATCTCACTTGTGACCACTGACACTAGAACTAATACTTATAACACACT